ATTTATAATGCAAATATACAAAGTTATTCAGCATTAATGCTTCAACATATAACCTTCAAGACATAAAGAACATTTAAAATATTTCGTTGTTACCATATTGTGTTTAATCTCAAAGGTCTTCTGGAAAAGAGGGACTTTCATAAATTTTTTTATATAATTGTCATAGCCCAAGTACTTTTGCTTATAACTTCTGAAAAAGTTAGAAACAGCTTCAAACAAAAAGTTTTTCGAACAACTATCAGAGTAATCTTTCAGATTTGATTCATAGTTTTAAACAAAAATTTTACCCATTTTTTATGCCTTAAATGGTATCTGTTAAGCCATTTACTCGTATTACTGAATCATCCAGTATAAATGCAACATCAAGCACATAATAAGAATAACAAGAATTGATAACATTCACCAAATATCTTTATACCATCTATTAAAAAGAACACGCCACTTACAGCATACATACATGCATGCTATAATGCTTTGGCATCATCTTAAAATGGTTTCAATGTTGTCTATGAAATCCTTGAACTGAGAGATTTATTTTGTTTTTTTATTTTGTATTCTGGTTTTTGTTTTGCTAAATATGAATATACAAACATATTTACACTTAATATTTATTATTGTATATTCTTAAAAAAATTTAATTAGTAAATTATATTCAGATAGAAAAAAAAATGCTGAGAATTGCACTTGTTGCATTTTATGTTTTTCTTTTTCTCTTGATGCATTTTCGTTGTTATTTTCTTGTGTTGCAAATTTTCAAATCTTTGGTCCATTAAAAATAAAAATGGTAAATAAATTTATTTAAAACAAACCGAAAAATTACTTCTAAGGTGAATTAAAGAAGTCTACCTTGACTTAGGAGAGAGAGAGAGAGAACAAAAATATTGAAGAAAAAAAATAAATTCAATTATAAATTTTAAAATCTTCATGCAATTGTGTTTGTGCAAAGCTCAAGTATGGTTTAAATAAAAAATGGCAATTCAAGTGCTTCATTTCAAGTATAGAATCGCAACATTTTCAAATTATTATAGATTTTTTTATATTTCTTTTTTATTCTAAAACTTAAAAACTGCAATTCTTATTTTACATTGAAAGTCATTTTAATATTGACAATGCTATGCAATAATTTTCACGTGTCAAAGAAATTTTTAATTTTGCGTGTCTTTTACTCAATATTGAAAATATGTATGTGCCGCACCTTGAGAATAATACCGCAATATTTGAAATTTAAATAGTTTTGAGTACTTTTATAACAAAAGTTTGGAGGTTAATTAAGTATCGTTTTCGACGAAAAGAAAAATATTTCTTTTAAATTCCATAAGTCGCAATACTAAAGGAAAACTTAGAGCAATAACAGTAAATAGCTTTCGTTATTTTACAATTACCTCCTTAAGTCACTCTCAATCAATCTCCTCAAGTCTATCTCAATTTGTTACAGGCGTACAAATCGAATTTACTATGTAAAATCCCGGATAACAGTTGAGCACAAAAGTCCCCTGTATATCACAGGTAAAATTCCTAAGTTTAAAGAAACGGTAAAATGGAAAAAAACAGTATATATCTTACTGTTTCTCCTCTCTAGGAGAAATTAAAATTATTTTACCGTTCTTCTGTTATGTTGGTAATACAATTTTTGGTAATTTGTTTTGACTCGCCGTACTCACGTTACTTATCACGAACGGCGTTAAATTAGATTTAATTTTGAATTTAATAATAGTTTAAATATTGCATTAAAGAAATAAAAATGTAAAAATTCAGAGAAAGATTTTCATTTTGAAAAAATTCTTAAAAGTTGTAGTTTTTTAGACATTGTAATATAGTGTCGATTACGCCAAAATAAAGAGTATAAATTAGCTTATATCGCTATATTGTACTAATGGTGCGATATTTAGTTTATATACTTATAATTATACTTTTATTATACACCCGTATAAAAATATGATAATACTAACATAGATGGAACATTTTAATGGTTTAAGAAAATTGATGTTAGAAGTTGTTATAAAGCCAATAACAAAAATAATGACCACCTTTATTCAACATATAAATCTTAATCAGTGAATATAATATTAAAAGAAAAAAAAAAACGAAAAAAACAAAAATTTATTCTTGAATTGGGCGCAGGGTCGTATACAATTTAATTTGCAAAATTTTCATGTGAATAAAGTATATTTATACCAATATATATTACACGTTATAATGGTATATACAAGACTTGTAAAAATTAAGAAAAATTTTTGAATAATTTTCATTTTTGCGATATGAAATGAAACAAACTTGTATCAAGGTCAACGTACAAACCTGTAACAGATTTAAAATAATTAATTTTTATTCTTTCATTTTATTTAATATAATTTCAATAAAATCTTTGTGTTAAGAGAAAGACTAAATTGCAAATGGATTATTTTCAAAATTTTTCAATATTTCTAACATAATTGGTCTAATTTTTTATGCTATATGTATTTTCATGAATGTAAACAATACTTACATTATTGTTTTAAGTAAATAATCTTTAATGTGATGTTTTGGAGGTGAAAAAATTTTATATAAAAAGGAAAATTTTTGAAAGTTTTGTAAAATTCATGATTTATCTAGGCATATTTTTAAAAATTATTTTTTAATTAAATTTATAACAATAAATTATAGCAGACGCTTATTATAAGCATCGTCTATTATCGAAATTTTAACAGAGTTTCCGGTATAAGAATTTTCAAAAGTACTTATTACAGAATCTAACAAACTAAAATATTTAAAAATAAATTTTTAATCAAAATTAATAAGCGAAACAATTCAAAAATTTAATTGATATATATATTATTATACAATTATTATATTTTACCTTTATATGTCACCCACCTACCCCTCTTAAATTTTTTAGAATTACAATTAATCAAAATTTTACATTTACAATTTCATTTGCTCAAATTACAATTCGACAACTTTGTCCTATTATGAATTAGAATTAAACAAATTTAATAAAAATAATTGCTGGATAAAAACAAGGAAAACAATAAATATTTCTGGCTACTTTATCAAAAAAAAACAGAAACAATACAGAAGCAGAAAGGAAAATGTCGAAAAAAGTTATTTAACAGTGTTAAAATTTTTACATTTTTAAAAATATAAACTTAAGAAGATGACAATTTATCCGAAATTCATGAACAAAAAATTATTTAACTTTTTATTAATCTAAATTTTAAATTGTAATTTAAACAAGAAAAATCAAAACAAATTCATTTAAATTCATAGATTAAATAGATTTTTTTGAACCCTAATGGCATTTTATATACTCTTCGCTTTTTGTTTTATAATAGTATAGGTATAATATAAGAAAATGTCTCAGAAATCTCTCTACGTTGTGCGTGTTATAAATTACTTAACATTACTTTAATTATACCTAAGTTATTTGTTTTAAATTTTATACAAAATCTTAAATTTTTAAATTATAAAAAAATTAGTAATTCTTTGAGAACTTAGAACAATGTATATTCAACATTTTTATAAAACAAAGCATATATTACTTGAAATTTAATAGCTCATTTAAATATTTTAGTTGTGAATCATAACCAATATATATATACATATATATAAGAAATTTATAATATGATTTATTATTGCCAACTTTAATTGTCAATCTTATCAAATTATAAAAATTTAATTATAATTACTCTCACATAACTATAATATTATAAAATCGCAGTTGTAAATTCTAGAAAAATATTAACTTATTTCAAATACATACCTAATAATTACTATATATATATATATATATATACAAATTGTTTTACATACTAATTAAAATTTTATTTCCTCATCTTCATAAATAGAAATATTTTTTTAACAAAAACAAAAATGTGTTAAGAATTTTTTAATTTTAACACTAGAACTTTACCACTTAAATTTATTTTATATTTTAATTTTTTTTTTCTTTTATACTTACATCTAGGTGCTTATTCTTATTTATTATTTCTAGTCTTTGTTCATTTTAAAATGATACTGTGCGCTTCTTATCAAAAAATATATAATATTTTGTGCCTATTTTGGATTAATTAGGAAGTATTACAAGTAGACTATTAAATTCACATTCAATAACGTAAATTAATTTTATAATCAATTTTATATTTTAATTATATGCTTATATAGATAAATTATAATTCAATATTAATGATTGACGTTTTCATTTGAATATGACAAAATCCTTTTACATTAATTTACAAAAAAAAAAATAAGGTTGCTGATGCGTAAGAATAAGAATTTCGGTTTTTTATATTGAATATAAAAAATATGATGTGACATAAATTAATTCCATTATAATCACGCGCCTTAAATTCTTAGGTATATGATGTTATACGAGTATCTTATAATCTTATATATTAATCATACGATATTAAACAAAATAAATCATAAAAATTGCAGAATATAATTTAATATATAATATTAAAATAAAAATTTAATGAATTAAAATTCGTCCCATTCATTTCTATATAAATACAATATAATGAAATACGTGACCAGGTTACTTTACAATAGCGTTAAAGATATAAAATTATTTTGTGAGTGTGATAGAAAAGTTAATGAAGACTTAAATATATCGTTGATTATAAGAAAAGATTTTATTGACGTAAAAATTTATAGGAATATAGAGATTTTTTTTTTATTTTTTGCAACTTTACCAAAAAAGAACACCTTTTAATAAAAATTCACAAAAACATATTCGACATACTTTATGTATTTGAATTTAATATAGCATTGGCTAAATGAATAAGTAATAAGAATGACTCCATTCGTAAGATATTAAAAAAATTTCATATCGCTTCTAAGTATCCAATTAATGGCTTCAGTATACAAATTAACACTATAAATTTTAGAGAAAAATTAATAAGGTTTTTGAAAATTCAATTGATATTTTTTCTCAGTGTGTTAAAATATCGTAAATTTTAATATTTTTAAAATAATTTACTTATATTCTCATCATCATTAAAAATTATAATTTTATTTTTCAGATTTCAAATATACAAAAATTGAATAAAGAAGAAAATTAGCTATATATTATATCCAAAATGTCCAGTTTAGTAGAATCATTACAAATTAGATATGCAAAAATGTCGGAAGGCATAGGTAAGAAGATTAAAATTTCTAATATAACAATTTAACAATTACATGATTCTTTTCTGTTTTCTTTTTTTTTTATACATTTTAGATCCAACAATAGATAATTGGTTATTAATGAAATCACCAACAAATTTATTAATAATAATAGCATTATATTTGGTATTTGTATTAAGAATTGGTCCATCATTTATGGCAAATAGAAAACCATATAATTTACAACCAATAATGGTCGGTTATAATGCATATCAAGTTATATTCAATATATGGATGTTTTTACAAGTAAGTAAATTATATTTAATATTTTAAATTCAAGTATAATATTATTAACAATATGTAAAAAAAAATTTTATTCAATATACGTAAACAGAGTATGTTAAATGTAAATATTACATACCATATATAGTGTGTTAACAATTCATGTAAATTTGTATTGTAAAATTTCTATATGCATATAATTTATTATAACATTACATTATTCATATACACATAACCATGTCAAATAGACAGACTTTTTCATGAGAAAAATTTTCAATTTGTTTTTGTTATTATGTTTCATTTACTACAAGTACTGTGCTAAATTATTCAAATTTTTTATTTTAGTGAAAAAAAGTAAAAATTAAAAAAAGAAAAAAACAATAACAGAATTTTGTTATGTAAATTAAATTACGGTAACATTTGATTATGTTAAAATTGGCAATGACACGTGTTTCATTGTGTGATTACATATACGTTTTTAGTTTTTTTATTGCTTATAATATTATTAATGTTATACAAGTGAGAGAGAAAATGCTGATTTTTTTTTCTTTTATTCTAAGAGAATCTATGAGAATATAATTGCATACATTTGGGAGAATATATTTATTTCACGTTCGACTCCAAGTGAAAATTTTTGTAGTTAACATTTTTAGAATATTGCTAAAATTTTAAAATTTTAAAATTTTTTAAGTTTGTCACTTAAATTTTTTGAAAAAATTTTGTTTTAATTTGTTATAATTCTAGTAATATTACTTTAGTTACTATGATTTTTGTTAATTTCTAATTAATAAAATTAAAATATATAGTAATATGTATAACAGTACCAAAGTAATTGCTGTCAGTTTTGATAATTTTGATTTACTTTCAATTTTGATTTCATCCCTTTATATGAAGTAATTTTATACCTCTGGAACAAAATGCCCATTATATCTGTTTTGACACTGCACATTCAGGAAATTTCAATAAAATTTCAAAACTAATCTAAGTCGGCATCTAAAGTCTTTTCACGTGTATCGAATCGAATCTTCGTAATTGAATTGAATTTAAAATTAAAAAACCAAATTAATGACAAAAAATTTTTATTTGTTTTTATCATAAATTCTTAATGTAAATTATAATTTTTCCGAATAATTATTTTACAAATTATTTTTTTTTTTCTTTTATAGGCTTTCAATGCTGAACGTTCATTTGCACAAATTTTAAGTAATACATGTAAATCAGAAACTGATATTGATAGAGTTGCTCAAGTAACAATGTGGTCTGGTGCATGGTGGTATTTCTTCTCAAAAGTTATTGATCTCTTGGACACAGTTTTCTTTGTATTAAGAAAAAAACAAAATCAAGTGACATTTTTACATGTTTATCATCATACTATTACAGCATTATTTTCATGGTGTTATTTAAAATATTTACCAGGTAATTTTAAAATTAAATGATGTTACAATAAAGTCACAAAATATTTTAACATCTTTCAAATTAGAGTAAATTGTTCAGAAATTCAACTATACTATAATATTCTTATAAATTCTACATTAAATCTAGTTTAACAATATTGTGATCTTTTTTTTTAAAAATTGCTATAAATCATTTTCAACATCGAATATGGTTTAATTTTACAAGTTCGTTCAAACAGATTTCTTGGAAAAAATAGTATATGAAATTATTTTAATTTTCAATGTTGGTGCCTGTTAGGAAAAGTATAGTAGATGAATTTCTTATATCACGTTCTTTAAAGGTCTAAACAAGATGTCGGTATGCGTCATGTTTAAAAATTTTCATAAATTTTTAAGTGAAAATTTTTCGAACTTTAAAATGTAATGATTCCGAAATTAGAAAAAAAAAATGTGTAATGACTTATGAGTGAGTTCTTGTTCTGAGGTGTGCAAGTCATATTCAATTAAGCGACTACCTGACACAGAAACAGAATTATACTTAAAATTTCAATTCAAAAAAAATTGAAAACAATCATTCGAGTCCCTTTAACTCGGAACCTGTTGAGTTGTGAATATTGTCTCCATACAAAAGTTTTACCTAATCATGGAGGTCTATGTATTACTAGCGTGCTTAGATACGGCGTATATTTTTATCGTTCTTAAGAAAACGTAACAATTAAAGCTGCCTGCATTTTAATAATACAATTTTCTTCCATTCTACAATAGATATTCTACAATTTTCTTTTCTAAATGTTTAACTCTTTTATACCAAATGAGAGTAAAATTTCCTGATTGATCTTTAAAAAATTTACAAATTGTTCATTATATTTTTTAACCATTTCATTTTTAAACAAATTTTATTTTTTTTATAAATATTTAATTTCAGGTGAACAAGGTGTTGTTATTGGTCTTCTAAACTCATTCGTACATATTATTATGTATTTCTATTATATGTTAGCGGCAATGGGACCAAAATATCAAAAATATTTATGGTGGAAAAAATATATGACTGTTGTACAATTAATTCAATTCTGTTTAATGTTAACATATTTAACAGCTGTATTTATTATGGACTGTAATTTACCAAGATCTTTAACATATTTCTTTGGTATCAATGTTATCATTTTCTTGTATCTATTCGGAGGATTCTATCGTAATGCATATTCAAAGAAATCAGAAAAAATAAAGAGTGATGAACCTTCCAAAAATAATTTATTAGCAAATGGTGATCAATTGAAACAAATGATAAATGAATGCGATAAAAATAATAACGAAACAACAAAGAAATTCGTTTAAAAGGAGCAAACAAAAAAAAACGAAAATTTCTATGAAAAGTGCAAAATACCTAAGAAAAAAAAGAACATAAATAAAAAAACAAAAAAAAACAATTATAATAAATTTTTTTTTATAGCAAACAATTTTGATTTCATATAAATGTAAGTTTACATTAAATTTAGGGGTAGAAAATAATCAACCAAAATTAATTAGTGAATTGAAATAGTCTAAAATTTTAAAATTATTATATTTTATGTACTTAGAACAGATTTGATTTCGGCTTAATTCTTGTGTACTTAAGAAATTTTTTTTTCTTATCACCTGTTAGATTATGAAAAATTAAAAAAAAAATTCGGATTACAAAGTTCTATTTTTGTTTTAAGGCAATGATTTCAAATGTGTTTGTACAATGCCAAAAGTAAAATTTTGTAAATTTTTAATTAAAAAAATTTTTTTTTGTGAAAGTGCGGAATGCTTATGTTTTAAAAAAAAAATTCAATTTTAAAGATAAATGCCAAATTATTTTGTCTTTAAAATTGTATACCCCTATATCTGTTAATAGAGCAACTGTATTGTCGGCAATATGATTAATTTAGTGTTCTAAATAATGCCCGCTTGCAATAACCGTTAGTTTTACATAATAAATGAGCCAGTGTCACCCAAAATGACAGTTGTTTCCTTTTTTGATTTGCAAAAATATGCAAATTTTCTCAGTAGACTTTTCTTTAATCTGTAAAATTTTTTTATAAGTGCAATTATTTACTGCTACTTAATAAAACTGATGTTAATTTAATAGAAACATACATAAATTTCAGTAAGTACTGTAATTGTTACAAATAACGAAGTCAGCTCAATGCCAAAACTCGCAAATGTGCAAAAATAATTTATCGAATAAACATGATTTAAAATTTTTTTAGTTGTCTTTAAAAATCTGTAACAAATTGTAATATTATGTGAGTGCAAGAGTTATAGTTACACTGAAGTGATATCAAATTTACAGTTTCGGCATAATATATATTTGTCAACTCATTGCTCGGGTATTATTCACAATTTTAAATCAATCAAATTGCCTATAATTAAATTGATATTGAAAATTGCAAATTATTTTACAATGGGGGTGTAAAATTCAAAAAATTCTAGTGAATATTCAGCATTATTATATTTGTATGTGTACCTATAATATTATTTATAGCTGAATTTTGATATTTTTGTTGCATGAGACTGATGAATGAATGTTAAAAAAAAATAAATAAATAAGAAGAAGATGGAAAAAAAATAAATAAATAATGGTTATTTAAAATTAAATTTTTAAATTTTTGGATTTTCGATATTTAAATTTTTATTTTTAAATGTAATGGTGCGTATATAAAAATATTATATAAGTTTTAATAATATAACATATTATATAAAAATAAATATGTGTACATAGGCTATAATAATGTGTATGTATATAAAAAATTTTTAGTTTTTTAAAATTACATTTATTGAAATAGTGGATGTGATGAAATTTTTATTTTAATAATAAATTTCTTTAAAATATTTTAATTATATATAATTAATATAAATTTAAAAATTAAAAAAATAATATCATATTGCATGTATATATGAATATACATACATATATAATTTATAAATTTTGTTGGATATTGAGATATTTAAGATTTTTATTTTGAATAATTTAAGATTAATGAAATTTATTTATACTTACAAATACATATATGTAGATATATGAATGCAAAAATATAATAATATTATATTTTGTGTAGGTTTATTTATATATATATATATATATATATATATATATATATATACGTATATATATTTATAGCATAAAATTTTAAATTTAAGCTAAAATTATGTGAATATAATAGAAATTATAATTTAATATTGATAACTTTTATTCCGGAGTAAAATTTCTTCAATAAAAATTATAATAATTAAAATAAAGAAAAATGAATAAAAAATATTAAAAATTATTTATGCGAAATTTAATATTATTTAAAAACATGCATTCTCGATAGTAATTTAAATAAAGCAATATAATAATTTAAATATATATGAAGATAAATATATACTTGAATGGTACGCAGAATTTGAGTTTGAAGAACATATACAGAATGATTTATATATATAATATATACAACATACATATATATATATATATATAATTAATACAGAATCATGTATATATATATATATAACATGTTAACGTGTTATTTGCTGCATGTATTAAGGATATATTCTAATAATATACCGCACTTAACGGTTCATATTGCAGCATTTCGTTAATTCAGGTCAAGCACAGATCTTAACATCTATAAGAACTTTGTGAAAATTGTAGTTTAGGTATTTTTGAAAATTCATTCTGCGTTTGCTTTCCTACTTAGAATTTAAATAGCTTCAGCAAAAAAAACGGCTGCTTAAAATTTCAAAATTGCCGCAAAAAAATATTTGCAATTGTCAAGGTACTGTTACAATCGTATGTTCTTAATACATAACTAATTCTAATAATTCTTTTAAATCTTCCAGAATTTTTAAATAATATTTTACATTTACATCACATAGGTTATAGTAAAAAAATTAATTTTTTTTTTTAAGTTTTCGATTAAAATTGTTGTTTAAAGGAATTCTGTCAAAATATTGCTAAATACCTATTTTCAAAAATAATTATATTTGACAGTTCGCGTATAGTACATAATTAATTATGAAATTTTTTGCAAATTAAATACTAGAATAAAACAGAATTAACAAAAATACTTTCTTTTTATTTTGAGGTAGAAGAAGATCTTTTATAGAAAACAATTACAAGTTGATAAAAGAAAACTTGTCAAATTTTTCAAACTTGTAATCAATATTTTATTTTTAGATTATCGAAGACCTCCACTCCTAAAATAATGTAAAAAATTTTAAGAATATTTTCTTTAACTCCGTTAATTTAAAGTATACTTATAATCGGTTGAACAATTAGTTAAGTTCAATATTATGAAGCTAAAATGTTGGGACTTCTTTAAAATTTATTGGTGTATTATTTAAATAATTGTGAAATACAATTTAATAATTTATATAAAAATTAAATCCCAGTCACTTTAAAAAAAATTTGATCTTAAACAAATTTAAATATTCATTATTATATTACTCATTTTTTTATAAATGATTATCTAATAATTTCAAACTTATATCTAGGCAAAAATATTTTTGTATATATAGATTTGCAATATGACCATCTTAATTCTTGAATAATATGTTAAAGATGAAATAAAAGAAAAATAAGAATATCAACATAAATTTATAGTTCTGGATAAACCATAGATAACCAGAATGTCTAGCATAAAAATTATAAAATTATAATAAACATCTTCTTCCACTTTCCTTAAACTTTATTATAATATTCAAAATATTATAATACAATTCTAGTTCAATGAATTAAATTAATATTATATATATAATATGTACATATGTGTTTTTAATAAATATAATCAATAAAATTTATGTAAATTTGTGGTAGGATGTCACCATTAAGTGGACATATGAACAACGATTATTTAATTTTTACATTGATTTACGTATATAAAGACCACATGATATTCATTGTGTTTTATATAAATTGTATTTAAAATCGCTTTAAAACAAACAAGTTTTTAAATCAGATGATAAGCTTATGATTATGAATAATAATATAGAATTCATATTGAGAATAAAATCACCGGAACCGGATTAGTAATTGATAATAATGATGAAAAAATAACAATATTTCACTATAGTAAAATGCCAACACGTGCTATTAATTTTTAAAATTTTATGTATTTGAAAATCTAGTTGCCTCCATTTTGCTCAAATTAAATTAATATAGGAAAGAGAACTGATGCCGGAGTAATTATAACAGAAATAGTATAAGAAAATTTTTAGAACTCAAATTTTTTTAGATTAATTATAAAAATTAATTCTCAAAATTTTAATCAAAACTGCCCTACTAAACAAATGTTGCAAATTCAATTTGTTCGTAAACATTGCTAAGTATCACCATTATAATAAAATAATTGTTATGAGTAGCCCAGTTAAACCGTATGAACTGTTTTACTTTTATAGAATTATCAAAAATATATATATCATATCCATGTTTTTGCAGTATGGTGTTTTTAAAAATGGCTATTAATTTAATACAGGTATAAGGTAAGTAGTTTTGATGTGAATTTTCTTTTATTTATATTAAATACCTACCAATACTCAAATCTAAGTAATATTATTTACAAAATATTAAATATAGAATTTTTTTAACGCTATAAGGCATATAACTGAAACACTAACTGATTTCGTACACGGACAAATTTTTGAGTGTCAAAATTAAATTGTAACTCACGAGAAATGGCAAAAATCATTAAAATTAATGAAAATTTTTCAATTCTGACAGGATTCGATGCAATGGCCTTTTTGAATTTTATTGCAATTACAATTTTATATATGTATGATCGAACCAATTAATTTTCTATAGGTTCGAACTTATTTGAACAACATGTATTACAAAAATAAATTTAATTTTAAATTGTTATAGAAATGATTTTTGTTGGTAAGCTCCTTTCTCTTGATATAAAATCTAATCTGAATTCTATAATTAAAAAAAATTTTATTATATCTACGTTTTAAAAACTCTTAGGTCAAATAAATAAAAGTTTGAACCAAATAATTATTTTCCAAAATTATGTAACTTGAGTTTTTTCAATATTAAATTAATAATTTATGTCTTAAATTGTGATGTTTGACGTCAATGTTACTTTCAACATTTCTATTAAAATTTTTTGTATTGCAAACACAAAAGACTTTGTTTTCTTATTCTATTTTACGTAACATTCCAGTATTTTAACAATAACAAATCAATAATAACATTCTAAGCCGAAAATTATCCACTTTAAAATTTTATTAACACCGTTATTTATATTCAGAATATTAATTTTGAATTCTTAAAGAATCAGAACACTTCCATTAAAAAAAAAAATTTGAATTATATTACAGGAAATGTTAATGAGATATGATGTTATGCAATTCAATATTTTATTTTAAATAAATTTTTATAAAATTTGCTAGGAGTTCAACGAAATTTAGTAAAACAATCAGTCCAATCGTATACAATTACTGCATCAAAATTTAA